GCATACGCACACGCAAGCACATTCGTCAGATCACACAGACACACGAGCGTCCATTTTGGAGGCTTTCAAAATGTGATCCCAACACTGATTGGCTCGTGGGTGCTGTGGCAGGCGGATGGGTCAATTTGTAAATTTCACTCTAAGCCCCTGGCAGAAGGAGCGAGAGAGAGAGAAAGAGAGAGAGAGATCAAGAAGCGGGCTTTGGTGCAGGAGATGATGTAGCAAAGGTGAAGCTTGTGAAGGCTATAATGAGGGAAAGGCGAGGCGATACGACCTCAGATCGGGGCGCCTGCCACATGCACCGAGCGCGTGAACGGCCTGCGGCGCATTCGAAGTGCGCCAAAGTCGGCCCGATCCGCATTACGCGCCTGGCGCAGACGCAGAACAGGGACTGAAACACCGCCAGGCCGACGGTGGCCAGTGAACGAGGGCAGACAATCCTGGGCAGTATCGATCGGCACGAAAAAAAACACAACTAGGCCGGCAATTTGATGCAGCCTGGCCAGTCGGCCAGCAAGCCAGCCAACTGGCCGGCCTCGATGGCGGTGGGCACTTACTGGCTTGAAACGAGGAAAAGTGGACCCTTGATCGATCGGGCCTTGTTTGTAGCGCCTCAAAGTTGGCAGCAATTCGGCGCATTAAAAAAGCCATCTTGACATAAAGCGTAGTGGAGGCAATATTTGAGCTGGCAATAAAGTTGATTCTAGAAACGGTGACCAGATTGTGCTTTCCTTTAGCGCTACTTTGTGCTTTGGCAATGGGAAGCGAAAGGCGAGTGAAAAATCGTAAAGTTGCATGCGGTAACAGTGGAACATTGACGTCATTTACGGAGCATTTCAACCATAAGCATCATCACTTCTTCCTATACCTTAACTCACCTTGTTCTTTATAATCGATTGATCCTGTATCCTGTATCCTGCACCATGTACTCTTGTCCATCTCAAGCCGGGCAACCATTCTTCATCTTATTTACTCTTTTCAGCATCCCTTGCTTTTCATCCCTCCTGCCCCTCGTGTTTTCTCCTTTTTCTATTTCCTCTTCCTCCTGCGCCTCCTTATTCCACCATCATATTTTACACTTTTTCCCTCATTTTTAGTCGCAAACTTCCGAACATATCCAACACGTGGCTAGACTATCTTTATTTCTCTCTATTACCTCCAATGCCCACCTTGCCTTTCACTTTCTTCACATTCGCCCCATCAGATTTTCTGATAGGATGATATTTGTTATGCACTTTTGCCTGAATTTGCCAGCAACTAGTCGCTAAGGCCCAACTACTGTTAAATTAGCGCCCAGACACACGGATATGCACATTTAACTATACGCTTACTTTGCTGTATCCAGGCTTGCCTACTAGGCCGGGTGTGCTTTCAGGCCAGCGGTTAACAACGCGGAGTCTGTCGGACATGACATGTTTGAACAGTATGATTACGTCAGTATTAGATATTATGCAAGCCCAAAGTGAAGTGAAATCTGCTCTATTGGGAAAAATGGAGATTGCAGTCGGCCTCGGTTAGACAGAGTGTGTGCTGCAAAACGGTGAACGGCCGACTGTAGATGACGAGTTGCAAGACATCCACATACACATTCACATCCACATGCACACATAAACAGCCTATGCCAGCCCTCGCGAGTGGGTAATCAACTGTTGGTTGTGTGATTTGCAATTCATGCCACTACAACCGTCAGCACAACATTTCTGCACGGCTTCATGTGCAAGATGGATGGGGCGATTTCACACACGCGCACTTCCACCGGACACATGAGGTCACAACAAACTTTCCCTCTGCCAGTCGGGGCAAGATCGCCGAGCGCAGAGCAGCACTGCATCCTCTTTTGTCGTGTGTATGTGTGTGCGTGTGTGTGTGTGTGTGGTTAGCATGCACTCCATAGGGCGGGTTTTCGACTAGGCTAGATTCGACACTTTTTTTTACCACGAACCCTCTCCCCCGCCAAACTTGTGGGTGGACAGCTAAGTTGGACATCGCAGAGACAATTGCACCAGGCATAACTGAGGCTGGGTTACATGATGGGCACTTGGAAACGGGCTTTTCCCCTCTTCCCTATAGGCTGATCAGCTCCAAGTTGCTGAAGACTATATTTATCGAGCTTACAAGCCCTCCTCGAGTTAAAGATTTACGCATCCTGTTTGGACAAATGAAAAGTATTATAAAATATATGCAAATTATTGAATTGTATATTGGTTTTGACGGGAATTGACGGTACAAGTTAATACTGGGAGAAGTGGGTAATGCAGAAAAGTGCAAGTTAATGCGCTGGGAATAAATGTGAAAACCACCCTTCGATATTAAGATCAAGATGGTTATATAATCAGGCCGACTTCGTAAAATGAACCTTTTTTTCGTCTTACCATGAACTTGGCACATTCTAAAACTCACTGAAGAGGCCAGCGACTTGTCTGAGGATGCACCAAAGCCATGATTACTAGGGTAGAAGACATCGGATATTTTAAGCTCTTCGAGGTTGCCCTGACAACAGGACAAATTTGAACCAGAAAAATTAAAATAAGTCTTTCTGACCATGAGCCTTATTTATCCCAGATGGTATAAGGTGGTGAAGTATTGATGGGTGAATTTATCCCTATTTATATAAGTAGTCACACATTTTTATTGAATTTCACATAGCCGTGCTTCTCAAAAGCCATTCTCATTCAGATATTTCAATTTATGCATGAAGGCTTGCAAAAAGATGTTATGAGAGGCATTCAAAGATTAGGTATACTGTAAAGCGATTGGCGAGAAATATTTGACTACGGATCTGCTTTGCTTAAATAAAAAACAGCCTAACTTCTATCTAGGCTTAGTTTGTGAAGAGAAGAGACTAAAGCAAAAGCCAGAGTGGTAGTTAGTATCATACAGATGCGCTAAGATTGCTCAGATAATCTATGCAGGATGGTAGTTGCATTGAAATGAAATGCTCTATCATCTCACATCTGTTTCTGAATGTCAATTGTTTGGACCGGCATGATACACACTTTCGGCAGTGGGCAGAAAAGGATAAGCTTTCCATTCACGCTAGGTCGCATAAGGAGAAAAAAGACTGATAGTTGAATGTTCCGTTAAATTACCATTAGCATTGCTCTCAAAAAGTGTTCACATCCCGACTGGAATGGACTGGACTTTCGTCCTCGCCTAAATTGATCCCATCAGAATTCCCATCAGGAAGTAAACCCAGGCCTAATCTCGGCATGCAATACTGTCACTGTACAAACGTGAACTTCAAGGAATGCCAAGCCTATCTAATATCACATTTTGTTGTAAGGGTGTTAGTAAAGAAAACAGGTATTTTACAATTACATTCACTTACATTACTTATATTCCGTTTTAGTAGGATTATAAACTACCGGTAGATGCTCAATTATTTTCACCTCCCAAAGACCTAGAAACAATAAAATCCAATGAGGTTGTGGTCTTCTGCTTATTTCAGTGTTGAAACCACACGATATACTTCGGCAGATTATGGTAAATGTGGGAAAACGCGATTTCTTAATATATTCAGCTTACAAGACTATCTGCATGATAATAGTTAGTGCAGCAACAAAGTCTGACACCGTTACTTATTTAGCTAATCTGTCAGCGCCGAGAATGGTACAGTAAAGCCACTCTAGATCGTATAAGGTGATTTAAGGACAGATAGTTGAGTCTTCCCACAATCTGATGAGTAGGATTTAAGATGGTACTGAATTTCACTCAGACTTAATGCTTAAAATATGCGAAGAAAAGTTGGTATTCGAAGAATCTCTTGTTTCATAATTGTTGAGCTTACTTCCATTTCGAGTGAAAGTGTTGGCTGAAGAGATTCGAAAGTCGGTTCCACCAAAAGACGACGGCGGATTACACTTGACTAGCTGTTGATTGGCTCTACTGGAACATTCATGCTGACGCTGTTTCCAAGGCAATCTCTTTCATATGACGAACATCATCCGAGCAAGGTATCATCGGCACAACCAAATTCAAGCTAACGAGTCAAGAAAAAACACCGAAAAATCCCTATACTCTACATCTGGCCTGTTTGATCAAGTAT